TGTATTAGCTAACATATTTAATATAAAAATTATACTATATTTTTAATAGCAAATTTTAATTACAAATCATTAAATACCCAAATTATATATATATAAAACTTCTACTAAAATAATTTTTTATTAAAAAATTATTTTTTGAATAACATCATTCTGACTAAAATAATCAAAGTATTTTTTTTCATCCTCTAGTAATTTTAAAGTATTTCTATCAATTAATACTCCTAATTTATCAATATGATAAATAATATTAGAAGCTAAATGATGTGTTAAAAGGTTACAACTTTCTTTTAAAATATCACTAAACAAATCAAGATGAATAGGTAAATAAACATATAATGAAATATAAGAAATATTATTCAAATCTGTAACAGGTTCATCTGTATAACAATGATTATTACAGCCTTCAAAATATAATGCCATAACTCTTCTGACATACAAAGTTTCATCATATAAGACAAAAACATATTTGTCTTTAATTAGTGGAGAATTATCTGATATGTTTGCAGTTTGAATATTAGGAACTATTAAACAATTATTTATAATCAAAAATTTAGTAATTAAATCTTAATAGAGTTCTAAGTTTAAAATTTCAAAAATATATAAATTTAAAATTTTATAATTCTAAAATTTAAGCGAATTATAAATTTTTAAAATTATATATTTCTGAACTTATAAATTTAAATAAGAACTTTTTATTAAAATTAACATACCTAAATTTTAATTTATTAAACTGAATTTATATTAATTAGTTTATAAAAAGGTTAGAGTTAGAGAGTATATATAGGTGTTGGTAAATAAAAACCTGTAAATCGTGTTTTTTGAATATTTACTTTTAAAAAAAATATCATGAAAACCAACTAATTAAATACTTAAGATTTAATATTATTCGAATCGGCTTAATGTAATAATTCGAATAATATTAAAAACTTAAGTATTTAATTAGTTGTTTTCATGATATTTTTTTAAAAGTAAATATTCAAAAAAACAATTTACAGATTTTCATTTACTAACATCTATATGTGCATTAAAATTTTGTTCATTTTTGCTACACAAAATCCTGTGATTTAATTGATCAACTATATTGACTTGCAATATAGCAACTTGTGATATTTAATATAATTCAAATAAAAAATAAAAAACTTACTTGAAATTAATTTTGATTTAATGTTCTTTTTGTTTGAATTTTTTTTTTTTAAACTTTTCAGTTGCTTCTAAATTTAATTGTGCAAGTGTCAATAATATATTTTTATGACTTTCCTTTCATTGTTTTTCTCTTTGTTTGACAAATTGTTGTTCAGAATTTTCATTTTTGGTAAAATATGCAACCAAATAACTAGCCTTATTTGGATAAATAGAGTTTGTTATATCAATTCTAGTAGAGCCTGATGCCTTTGATTTAAACTTTCGTTTAAGTAGTTTAGAACAATATGCATCATATAATTTATGTTGCTTAAGTAAAAACTCAAAGTTAAAAACATTTTCTGAAAAGTATTAGTAGCCTAAATTAACTAATAATTGTAATATTAAATTACTATTAAATTAGTTTAAATGATTTTTGAATTACTATATTTTTATAAAATAATAGACAGGGCATAATTTCAAATTACAGCCTGAATTAAGCTTAATTCAGGCTATAATTTGAAATTACACCTCTGGGCTATTATTTTATAAAAAAAATTTATATAGTAAAAAACTATTATATATCATATATTCTATATTCAAAACTCATAAAGTATTTTAAAATAATCAAATAGATAAAGATAAATATAGTATAA